TCCGTCCTCTCCCTCTCCCCTCGTCCCTCGTCCCTCGTCCCTCGTCCCTCGTCCCTCGTCCCTCGTCCCTCGTCCCTCCTCCCTCTCCCTCCTCCCTCTCCCTCTCCCTCTCCCTCTCTCCCTCTCCCTTTCTCGCTCTTGCTCCGCCATTCGGTTGGCTTCAGCCTACATTTTTTCGTTCCGGAGATCTGATATCAAGTCTGCCTCAGAGTAGTTTTGAGGGCAGCGACAAGAATTACCTCACTCTCCTCTTTCCGTCGTGCAAATACGCGGCCGCCATGCTGACCGAATGACAAGCGTGCAAGCGAGAAGGCCGCGATGAGAGAGAACAAGGAGAGAGAACAAGGAGAGAGAGCAAGGAGAGAGAACAAGGAGGAAGAAGGCAGGGGAGAGGAGGGGGAAGGAGAGCGAAGTGGGGAAGGGAGTAGCGGCGATGTGTGAGTTGATTTAGAGAGGGAGATAGGTATGAGGTTATGGGTAGCAGTTGCGAGTATTGTGATGATGGGAGGCAGCAAACATACATCTGATTTGCTTGACAGGTCAAGGAGCGATGAGGATTTCGAGTTTCTCCTGCCTTGTAGCACTTCTCTCGCTCTGTCGCTGCTATGGCTACCTCACCTCTACCAGCCTCCACGCCCTTCATGCCCACACCAAGCATGTGTGTGTGCGGCCATCACCCCGCTACGATCTCTCGCTGAAGAGGAGAGCGGAGAGGAGGGATATGAAGATGGCTGCAGACTTTGTGCTAGACACGTTCGATCCCGAGGAGGAGGAGGACGAGCTCTCCAATGAGAGACTCCTCACCATCATCCGCAGCGAGACAACTGACCAGTTCGTGAACGAGCTGGTGTGGAAGTGCTTGGGATACGAGAGGAAGGAGGACGGGAGCTACATCAACGACAACGTGTTCCCCAAGTGGCGCGAGAAGTATCCCTCTCCTCCTGACCTCATTGGTGAGCAGCTGCGAGGGTTGAGCGCTCCTGACGCCGTCACAGGGGTCACGAGGAACTACACCTACGAGATAGACCGACCCTGCCAGAAGGCGAATCAGCAGCTCGTCGCGAGTATACCGATGAAGTACAAACAGGTGAAGGGGAGGAGGGGAAGGAAAGGAGGAACAAGAGACTAGGGAGGAGGCTGAGGGACGAGGGAGGAGGCTGAGGGACGAGGGAGGAGGCTGAGGGACGAGGGAGGAGGCTGAGGGACGAGGGAGGAGGCTGAGGGACGAGGGAGGAGGCTGAGGGACGAGGGAGGAGGCTGAGGGACGAGGGAGGAGGCTGAGGTCTGGCAGGGCGTGAAGGAGCATCTTCGACCGCTTGGCTTCACGGGCTTCAAGCTTGAGGAGCTGACGCCCAACAAGACGAGGCGGGCTCAGTGTGTCAATTGGCTTCTGTTCTACCGCGAGGCTCTGCGAGGAAAGACCGTCGACCAGCTCCGAGCCGAACGAGCCGCCGAGACCGGCAATGACGTCGCGCCGAAGGTAAGCCAGCTCACCCCAGCTGAGGCCCGCTGAGGAGCCTGCAGGTCGTTGGGCCGCAAAGTCGACAGACAAGAAACGATGACGGGGTGTCGATGGTAGATCAGAGAATTGATGTGCTCGTCATGATTGACCGGATTGCAGATTGAGCAGAAGGACTGGAAGTATCCGAGTAAGCCTGTCTTGTAGGCTCTCCAAGCCCGCCTGGCAGTAAAGAGTCGGAACCACTGTCACTCAGGCTCAACTGACTCTCAGAGGTTCAAGAAGCCTCCGGGCAACTTGAACATCATCATAGCCAGTGACACCGTATGGTATGGTACCCCTACCTATAGATCGGACGATCAGGCTCAGGTCACGGTACAGTGAGTGACTCAAGCCATCCTCGGGCGGCGGCCTGGCCCAGTCAGGCTGTTGGAGGAGTGATTCGATTCGCCCGGCGCCATCCGAGTCCCGGGCCGCGGCCGGCCCGGCCCTGCGAGGGCATCGACTGAGTCATACTACTGATCATAGTACGGCGCTTCTATCACCGTGACTGTCATGACCGCTCCTTCCGAACTTGCCAGACGGAAGTTGAGTACTGAGCTCCGCCTCAACACTGTACTGGCACCCCGGACTCCCGGAGTTCCAACACTTCCCATTCTGGCCCTGAGTCAAACCGCGTTGCGGTGAAACTGAGTGAAGCAAACTGAAAGAGGAACTTCGGAATGGTGATCAGAGTAGTAGTACTAGTAGAGCACCGGCCCTGAGTCCCATCGGCCCCCTGAGACTCACAGGCCGGGTCCGCCTCGCTAAGAGCCTGGAAACCAGAGGCAGGGAAAGGGGTGAGAGTGGGTAGGGTGGGGTAGTACGGGTACCCCACTGTACGTAATGCAGAAAAAGAGGATATATGGGTAGGGGTAGTACAGAGGGAGACGGCGGGAGGGTTAAATGAGGAGGAAGCATGCAGGGCTGAACGGAAGAGGCGACAGAGAGGCGAAGAGAATGAGAGAAATAGAGAATGAGAGAAATAGAGAGTGAGAGAGAGAGAGAGAGAGAGAGAGAGAGAGAGAGAGAGAGAGAGAGAGAGAGAGAGAGAGAGAGAGAGAGAGAGAGAGAGAGAGAGAGAGAGAGAGAGAGAGAGAGAGAGAGAGAGAGAGAGAGAGAGAGAGAGAGAGAGAGAGAGAGAGAGAGAGAG